TAAAAGAAATCCAGGCCATGAAGAATACGTAATTTAATCCAGAAACAGTTCCTTCTCTTTTTTGCACAGAGTCACTCTCATGGAACCTTACCGTTAGCTAACTGGATGTGCTCCTGGTTTATGGGTTTCTCTAGCTCTGGTGTGTCCCAGCACTTGTAACTTTTTTTTTTTTTTTAAAAGATAAAATGGTGAATACTTACTTCCCAGGGGGCTATTCTGTATTCAGAAATTCATCTCACAGTGCCTCCACGTTGGAAGCTTCTCATCACTTGCCTCTTCATCCTGCATTCTGTTTAAAATATGTCGTTTTAAAAACACTTTGACCTTTAAGCCATTGTTCAGTTATATCACTAGTAAATAATGGGGCATATTTGTTAGAAATACTTGATAAGCTTCTAAAATTGTTGCAAGAGTGAAGATACTTCCCTCTTGATTTGCTCTATGACTTGTTTTTGTATTACTGTTACTAACATAATTTTGACTCTTAGGAAAGCAAAATCTGTATGCAGCAACTTACTGTATCCTGACTACTCTCTTTTTCTGTAAAACAATGATAGTAATATCTACCATTTATTGAGAGGTAATCTACTCAATTTATATTAATTTATTTGATCCTCACAACCTAATGAGGTAGAGATTATTATTTTCCCCCATTTTATATTTAAGAGAATTGAGGCTTGGAGCAGGTACTTGCCCAGAGTCACACAGCTTAGTAAATTGCAGAGCCAGGATTCAAAACCAGGCAGTTGGGGTGAATCAAATGATCTCTGAGTTCATTTCTGGCTTCATTTATGCTTTTGAGCAAAAGTCTTTGACTAGCGAGTAGTGGAATTAGATGAAGATCACCTGTGGTTAACTTTCGAGCAACATTCTTGTGCCTGAGGTAGCTTTGGGAGTGTTTACTGGGAGAGAGGATGCCGCTCTGCTCCCTTTTGCTCTTGCTCAATGCAGCAGTAGTCAGCTTCCACTGAAGATGGATGACATTTTAATTTGTAAACCTTTTTTAGGATGGTAATGTTAGCCAATGCCATTGTGTAGATATGGAGAAAACATTAAGGATTCTCCCGCAACATCATTTTATCTACTTGGCTTTGTTTGGGGAAGAAATCTAGACATAAGCAAGTAAAAATGGAAAGAGACCATAGAAATCATCTTGTTTCTATCCCTTCTTCACTTTTCAGGGGGCTAGATGACTCCACTAAGGTAACTAGTGGTTGCAGACAGAACTACAATCCTAGATTTCCTAATTTTAGTCTAGTACCCTCTGAAATGATACACCACCATCCTTAGTAGACTTTTAATATTTAATTAATTACTGGCCTATTTAGGAAGATTGTGCCTATTGCAGCTACTTAAATTTGTTTAAAACTTTTGTTTACTTTGAGTCTTCCTTTGTTGTGTTTTATCTGTGGAATTATTATAAGATTCTGGAGTCTTTTTTAATGCAATGCTGCCACTCTCTGGTTATTGGGTAGTACTGCATTAGGAAATCCAATATCCTTCGACTGCATTTGTGAAGTCTAATATTAGGAGTCATAAATCTAGGTGCAAATAAACGAGCAGCAGTTTATTTCTGTGTAATCAATAAGTGTGCGCAGGTCAGAAGATAACGTAGATATTATACCTCAGAGGGTTACCAGAATTGCTGGCTTGGTTCTGAAAAATGGATATAGTATAATTGTAAGTTACTGTACCTAAAAGGTATTTCTGTTGCCCTTTAGGTTTTCAGATATCTTAAATGTGTTGCAGAAATACATAGAGGTGTAGATTTTAAAATGTTGTTGTGAGTACTAGTAGATCCAGATTCCTATGTGCTCTAATGAGTAATTCATTACTGTAAGCCTTGAAGCATGTATTGGTAGTCCAGTGACGAGAAACCACTGTCATCCCTTGCAAGCAACCACGTTCTGGTGAGGAAATAACTCCTACGATTCTCAGCAAAGTTCTTAAAAGTTTTCTGTGAACTATCGGTTATAATCCCCTACTAACAGAGGAAGTAACATTTCTTTGAGTACCTACTGGGTTCCAGATGCTTTCTTTTTTTAATTCTGTGAATAGTTCTTTTAGGTAGGTTTCAATATTTACATTTTACAGAAAAGAAGAGATGTGGAGAATCTTGGTATCATGCCCAGAGTCACGTACCTGGGCGGCAGTGGAGTTGGGATTTGAATGGCGACAGGCTTTCCTGTTTTCTTTCCAGTAGTCCATGTTCCCTGCCCTGTAGTGCTTGGGCCAGGTTTTAGTCTTACCGTTCTGCCTTTGCTTTCCTTAAAAAACAAAACAAAACGAAAAAGGCCAGTGGTTTTCAACTGGGGATAATTTTGTTCCCATACAGAGGACATTTAGCAATGTTTAGAGACATTTTTGGTTGTTAGAACTGGAGGATGACTTTTAGTGGTTGGAAGTCGGGGATGTTGTTAAATGTCTAACAGTGTACAGGGCAGGACCCCCCCTCCCCCCCCCCGACAAAGAACTATCTGGCCCAATTGTCAATAGTGCTGGGATTGAGAAAGTCTATATTAGACAGTATAATTTATTTAAATGGATTTATCCTTGAGCTCTGCCAGACAGGCTCTGCCCCTTCCCCTGGCGTGTATTTTTCTTTCTGTGATGAGCAGTCTCATCCTGGTCCTGCTTTTTTATCATCCTTCCCAGGGAAGAAACTGTAGGTTTTCTACGGAAGGAAAAATAATTTTCCCTCTACCTTTCTAAGTTCTTGGCAAAATAATCCTGTGCCAAAGGCATATTTTGGGGTGACATATTCTGGTCTCCTACACCTTCTAGCTGCTCTCTCATGACCTGGTGTTTTGTACGTTACTGCCTGTGCGTCTGGTCAGCGTAAGAGTTAGAAGACCTCAGTTGTCCTGTAAGCTCTCTAAAGGTCAGAAATTCAGGATTCAGAATCTTCTCAATATTGACCCAGACTGTCTTCCTGCCTTGCATGCAGATGGACCATGTGAGTCTGATGTGTTTTATACTTGGCCTGTCTTTATGTCCTTCTTGGGTCTCCTCCTTTGCCTAGAAGGAATCCATTGAAATTTCTGCCATTTTCCCCCCCTAGGTCAGATGTTACCTCCTCTCTAATCCCCTGCTGAAAGTAATCGCTCCCTTCTCTAAGCTCCTGCATAAAACATTCTATTTATTTAGCATATTTGTTTGAACTCTTTTTCCAATCTGTGATATAAGGAGTGTGGAATGATTTTTTGTCATTAGAGTTTTTTATATAAAAGTGCAGAATGAATAAAAACTAAAGAGTACCCATCATGTAGGATTATTTCTGTATACAGTCTGTTTTATTCAGAACAGTGATGATGCCCTGTTTTTGTAGGCCTGTCTGTTTGACACAATTAATTGCAAAATAAGAATCTTGGTGTTGATGATATTTACTTTGTAACAGCACTTATTCACATTTGAGTTCTGTTGAGACTTGTGGCAGTTTTTTTGTTTTTGTTTTTGTTTTTTTTCTGATTGTATAAATGGCTTAGGTGTTTTAGCAAATGTTTTTTGGAACCTTTCTGATCTTTTAGTGCAGGCTGTATTTATGAACACTCATTAAAGCAGGAAGCATGTTCCTTCATTAATCAGAGCTCTTTTGACATATTTTAGAATTTAACCATCTGCTTTATAAATATGAGGCATTTCTTGAATTTTAGCTCTCATTCATTTCTGAGCAGTGGGCATGTGCTGAGAAGGCAGAGGCTGCTAAAAGGAGTGATACAGCATTCATCTTAGGGTAGTCTGTTATGGCCCCACTTGTGTTGGGAAAGTATCTTATGAGACATGAGAACCCTGAGTGCACTCCCTGTCAAGATCTTTCACGACCAGGCACACAGAGACGATCTATCTCAAGCTGTAGCCCTATAACTTTTTTTTTTTTTTTTTGAGATAGAGTCTCACTCTTTTGCCCTGGCTAGAGTGCCGTGGTGTCAGCCTAGCTCACAGCAACCTCAGACTCCTGGGCTCAAGCGATCCTCCTGCCTCAGCCTCCTGAGTAGCTGGGACTACAGGCATGCGCCACCATGTCCGGCTGATTTTTCCTATATATTTTTAGTTGTCCAATTAATTTCTTTCCATTTTTAGTATAGACGGGGTCTCACTCTTGCTCAGGTTGGTCTCGAACTCCTGAGCTCAAACGATCCGCCCACCTCGGCCTCCCAGAGTGCTAGGATTATAGGCGTGAGCCACTGCGCCTGGCCTATAACTTTCGAATGAAAGGGCAATATTTCATCTCTTTTTCTTCGAACAAACTGGGAACAAAGTTAACTTTCAGGGATAACATGGTTAAGTGTCCTACAAACATTTACAGGACCACAATCATCATAGAACCTTTCATTATTCATGAACAATTAAGTATAAGCTGTTCTATTGTCAGGAGATTTGAAAATAAATAAGATGGGATCCCGGTTCTTTGGACTCAGTAGTACCTTCATCACCACCCATACTTTGCTATATTGGTCTGGCATATAGCAATAACTGGCAAAAAAGTGGAGGGAGCCTTTAATTCAGTCTGAGTGATAGGCAAACCTTGGAGAGGAGAAGATTTTGTGCCAGGCCTTGCTGGATAAGTTCTTTCTAGCTTATTGCCCTTAATGAGTCTTGATGGTCTGCTGACACTGATTATAAATATTTACCAAAGTGATTACAGATTAAGATAGAAGGACATATTCATGTAGTATTGTATAGTTAATGTTAAAGTGTAATATTGAATGAATTAGTTAATCAAACTGGGGAAATATACAGAGTCAAGATTGGTCTCCTTTGTTTCCTGAAATAAGCCACTCTGAGGGGTAAGGTGAAAGGGCTACTGTGGCTGGGACTTTCTAGAAAATATAAAATTTGATCTTGTAACTGACTTATGTGTTGTTGTGGTCCTGGTGGTAATTGTGTGTCTCCCTAACTACCTGCCCACCTGTTTACAGGGGCTTTTTGGTCATGGGTATGATAGACACTTGTGGACACCTGAAATCCTGTTCCTAATGCTGTTAGATTTTCCTTTTCAGAGTAAGAGGGACCATCTACTCATGAACGTCAAATGGTACTACCGTCAGTCTGAAGTCCCAGATTCTGTGTATCAGCATTTGGTTCAGGATCGACATAATGAAAATGGTAAATATGTCCTTCTGGTTTGATTCTTATATTTCTTAGCTTTGGCCAAAGTTCTTTTGAAAAGCATTCATTAAATGGATATAACCACTATGGTAAATTTTCTCTGAAAAAGCTTTTTATAAATAAGAACATTATTGGAATTGCCCCCACCTCCACCCCCAGTTCTTTCATTACTTTTGCTGTTTTATTTTAAACCTCTGAACATGGCTGATGGTATCTTCCCTTTAAACTTGGGATAGAGATAAGTCTTTTTTGGAAATAACAGTAATTTTCATTTTTTTAATTCCTTTTTCTCATCTAGTGATGAACAAATAATATTTAACCCCCCATAGAATTATATATGTGTGTGTGTGTGTGTGTGTGTGTGTGTGTGTGTGTGTGTGTGTATATTTTGCTTTTCAGTCTGTATTATTGAACTTCTCCATATTCAGGATTGTGAACTTCAGTTTTCAAAACAAAGCTTTCTGAATTATGTTTCAGAATTCAGCTTGATTCCTGACTTTCAGAACAATAGGGAGATATTTCCAGGCAACTTATTTTTTTCTCCTTCTGGCATTGTAGTTTCTGCTCAATAACTTTATTGACACATGAGATATGTACGTAATTTGTATAATTATGTTTGTACAGATGTATAATAGCTTTAAAAAAATTGATTCTTGATAGGTGGTAGGCCTCATGCTAGGCGATTTTGTCACCCGTTAATCGTACGATATAGGTTTTGTTACTCCCTAGTTCTAGATAAGGAAATAGAGGTTGAGAGATGCTAAGGGAGTTGCAGAGGCTGTGTGTCTACTAAGTGGTGGTGCTGGGGCTGGGATCAAACTCCATCCGGCCCTGATGCCTGTGCTCTTCTCACTCTTCCAACTGCTTTTGCTCGTAGATTTTGAGTCAACAAATCAGTAGTCAAAAATAATTTTGAAGGACGATTTTTTTTTATTTTATTTTACTGGGTTTTTTTCTTCCTTGGACCTATAAAAACTTCTGTTAAGGCAGTTAAATTATGGTTCCTTGTTAAAAGTAGTAACTTGGCTATTCTTTTCAACTGAAACAGTGTGTGATTTCACTCTATTTTGGAATATTTAGCAATAAAAAATAAGAATGGATAGGATCACCTAATATTTTTGTAGTTGACGAACTGTTAGGATATGATAGTTATTTCTACTCTTTTTCCATTTTGTGCTTAATGCAGTCTAACAAACTGTAGGAACTTAATAAAGGGTATAAAACATAGCCAACAAGATACTTCATTAATTCACAAAACCTATATATACTGTTCTTGTTATTCTGTTATATATATCTATTATTACTGTTTTCTATTTTGTGTACCTTGATGCTAACCAGGCCTAGTTATTTATTGTCCTTTCTCTAGAACGAGGTACACGTGAAAGAAAAGTTTTGCAACAATTTCCTACTTGTTTTGGGAAACTGAATTTTAATGTCCTCTTAATTAATGAATTTTTTTTCACAGACTCTGGGAGAGAACTTGTCATTACAGACCCGGTTATCAAGAATCGAGAGCTCTTCATTTCTGATTACGTTGACACTTACCATGCTGCTGCCCTTAGGTGAGTACCAGAGATGTGGTCTTTCATCTGAAATCATTGAATATGGGGGTAAAAAGGCTAATCTAGCCTGATCTGTTTTGGTAATCATTATATTAATCAGACTACTGTCATGGTCTCAGTGAGCTTGCATTCCAGTGTCAGTTCTCGATTATTAAAGTTTTAGAGGTTACCTGTATCTTCACTAATCTGGCTTTACCTTTCTCTATTTTTTTTGTGTGTGTGTAATTTAGTTTTTTATACCCTCTCTATATTATCATATCTTTATTTCCTTGAAAGTTTATCATCCTAGTATTATTTACTGTTGTTTGTGATGTAGAGTTTCAGTTAAATAAATATGTGAGATATGTTATTCATGGTTATTCAACATATTTTGACATAATTGCTTAAGATGAATATATTTGAGTATTTATCAATGCCAGTCAGATTTGTAGAGTCATTTTTATCTCATTTTAGCATTTTTAGAAGAATAAGTTATTCTAGATAATTCTGGCTGGACCCAGATGAATTTACTCTAGCTAGGTTTACAGATGTTTTCTGGAGATAAGTTGTTGTGTAAGTCCCTGACCTTTCACTGGCCACTGCAGCTGGAGTACTAAAGTGGTACTACTTGATCTTCTTTTCACTGGGTATGTGACGAGAACTTTTATTAATTAGAACTTTTTCTCCTGTGGTATTTTCTTTAAAGTGGTCATAACAAGTGGTAGGTGTTTTATAAAACTTTTATCTTAAATTTGATTTTGTTGGTTTCAAATACAGCATCCTTTTTGTAACTTGACAATTGGATCTTTTCAGAGACATCAGCTGATAAGTGCTCACTTTCTTACTGAATGATTTGGCCTTGTAGGTGTTCGTTAAATACTTGCTGACATTGCCAGCTGCTGGTGCTCATCTCTCTCCTTCCTATGGTTGCTCAGTGATCCCACCTCGTTCTCAGCAGCGCTGTTCTCACTGTGAAAGCAGCTTTGGGTTGCCTGCCCGATCCCCTCTGATGAAACAGAACGGAGCGGCAGTGTCCCCGGGATCTGTTTCTTTCTTTTCTCTTCACCAGGGCTAGATTACTTTAACTTAAAAATATTTGATGTCTGCTTGATGGGGGCGAGGGGAGAGGATTAAGCTTTAACTTTTTCTTCCAATTTTTCTTTTCACAGTTTATCCACAGAAACATTTTTTTCTTTCTCCATAGGTATAAACCAGTACTACCAAAAATAAATTCAATTTTGAGAGAAACACAAATAAAACAGTCTATAGGCACATGAAAGGGGATCAAATGAATGTAATGGGGGGAAAAAAACAAGGCGAACAAAAAAGAAAAAAGAAAAAGACTGATAATGTTAGTGCTTAGCACCATTCTTCTCAAAGATCAAAGAGCTCAGTTATATGGATTCATCCAGCTCACAGTAACTCTGAGGGGGCTCTTGTCATTCCATTCACTCAGGAGGAAACTGATGTACAAGTTTCTCTTTCAAGCCGATGTTAGAGTTGGGTTATAAAAGAGGAGAGAGAGCTTTGTCCTTTAGCCATCATGCATCAAAAGGAAAACAAAATTCCTCTGTAGCCTCTTCTCTGTAAATTGTGAGATCATAGCTTTTCCCTACCTAAAGTAAGGGACTTTACCCAGAATAGACAGACTGTGATGCCTTCACAGTTGTAGAAATATGTGCTGAGGTCCAGCATTACTGCCATTTTTCAATGCTTGACCTTGGCTGTCACTCATCCCTACCTTTCAAGCTAAGTTTTATTTTATTTTATTACACTCATCAATAAATGCCATATTACAGTTAGCATCTTGAGCAAAGTATTTTTTGAATTCTCCTTATTACCAGATAAGCATTTTTAGCTGGCTTGTGAAATTAGAAGACTTCAGTTTGAATCCTGGCTCTGCCACATAGCTTTGTGACCAGTGTTAAGTTTATTAACCTTTGAGTTCTCCTTTGACAAATGTATTCAAGGTCACATGGCTAAGTGACAGAATCCTGAACATCTCACACATTCTGGTTTCAACATCCAGTAGGATAAAGTGTGTGAAAGCCCCTCACAGAGCTTCTAACACTCAGACTCGTATCATAATACTTTGCATAGTACTATGCTATGTACCATGCATAGTACTTTGCTCATTGAATCTCAACTGGGTTCTTAGAAGTATAAAAGAAAGAAAAGAAAAAATGAAATTAAATGTAATTTTGTACTGAGTTATTGATGGTCCAGTTACTCAACACCCACTTATTTTATTTCTCTGTGGCCTGTTGGATGGATTGATTAGCTATTCAGATACTTCAGGTATAAGGAGAAAAATTTAGCTCAGGGAGCCATCTGGGGATGTTCCAAGAATGAGCACATAATCTGTAGCTTGCAGTTTGTTTGCTATGTTACTTTTTACCCTCTGAGGCTAATGTTTTATTGATGGTCCAAGGATGTGAAGTGGTTGATCTGAGATTGAACTGAGAACATGTGACCTGGGGAATATTCTCAGGTTACCTGTGCACTTGTATCAATGCATTCTCCAGTATTGATTGTGGAGGGCGGCACAGGAGATCATAAATGTCTTGTTGGCTTAGGGTTGTTTTCCAACTTTCTGATTTTCTACTTCCTATGTTAAGCAGTCACTTGGGGAAAAAAACATCCTAAGGTAGGTCAGGTTGTAAGCTATCATCTTACCTAGGGATTCATATTATAGGACGATGTTTTAAGATGGATTTTCTGGAAGACCAGAGCCAAGAGACCATAAACTAGCTGTTTTGGGCTTCTAATCTCCTCTTTTTCATCCTGAATTAATTTATCTCCTTACTTTATTATGGGCAGCTAGAATCATACATATGTTTAAGGATTGAGATAGATCAATTATATGTGTGGACAATTTCACAACCATTTCTTAGCATTTAAAAAATCCTTTAGCTTCTGCAAGTTCCCTAAGGAGTTTCATGTTGTCTCAGAGCTCTTAGTTTTGTAGTTTAAGATTCATTTCCTGGTTTTAATCCATGATTGTTTTTATATGTGAAATAATTTTGACCTACAGCATTTTATCGTTTGGTCTATATATGCTTAGTACTTAATTAGGCACCATAACCTACAAATTCCTTTGTTTATTCATTCATCATTTAATGCCTTATTGACCTACTAGTATTAATAGATGAAGGGCTCTGTATTGTGGTGGGAACACCTAATAAGATACTCTGTCACCCAGGCTGAAGTACAGTAGCACGATCATAGCTCATTGCAGCCTTAAACACTTGGGCTCAAGGGATCCTCCTGCCTCAGCCTCTGAAGTAGCTAGGGCTGTAGGGGTGCATCACCATGCCCCACTAATTTTTTAATTTTTTGTAGAAATGGGGTCGTACCATATTACCCAGGCTGATCTTGAACTCCTGGGCTCAAGTGATCCTTATGCCTCAGCCTCCCAAAGTGCTTGGATTACAGGTGTGAGTCACTGCCCAGCCTAAATTTTGTTTTTTTATTTGGCGCTATTTTTAGACACAGAAAAGTGATAAATACTGAGTTTCCATATATTCCTCCCCCAGCCTCTTACAATGTGAACATCTTCCATAACTATAGTGCAATCGTCAGAACCAGGAAATTAACATTGGTACAATACTATTGATCTAAAGATTCTGTTTGAATTTCAGCAGTGTACTTTTTTTTTTTTTTTGAGACAGAGTCTTGCTCTGTTGCCCCAGGTAGAGTGCAGTGGCATCATCATAGCTCACTGCAAGCTCAAACCCCTGGGCCCAAGTGATCCTCCTGCCTCAGCCTCCCGAGTAGCTGGTACTACAGGCACGTGAGATGATAACCGGCTAATTTTTCTATTTTTAGTAGAGAGGGGTCTTGCTCTTGCTCAGGCTGGTCTGAAACTCCTGAGCTCAAGGGATCCTCCCGTTTCCGCCTCCCAGAGTGCTAGGATTACAGGCGTGAGCCACCGGGCCTGGCCTAACAATGTACTTTGTTGGTTTTGTTGTTTTAGGATCCTATTTGGGATCCCACATTGCATTTAGTTAGTTCTCCTTAGTCTCCTGCATTTGTAATGGTTCCCCAGTTTTTTCTTGCCTATTATGACCTTGTTACTTTTAAAGAGTATTGATTAATTATTTTATCAAATGTCCCTCACTTTGGTTTTGCTGAAGTTACACGTTTTTGGCAAGAATGCTGCAGAAATTGTGTGTGTCTCAGTATATCTTATCATGGGCTTCATGAGGTTGATATAGCTAATTACTGGTGATGTTGACCTTGACCACTTGATTAATGTGGTTTCTGCCAAGTTTCTTAACTGTAAAGCAGCTTTTCCCCTGTAGTTAATTAAGTTGGGGGGAGATACTTTGAGACTATGCAAATCATTTCCCTTCTTAAACTTTTACCCAGTGATTTTAGCATCTGCCAGTGGATTTCATCTGCCACAGTTATTGCTATCATGCTGGCTGCTGGTGGTTTTCTATTTTTCCTCTTTCCTTCTATGTTTATTGATTGGAATTCTACTGTAGGAAAGAACTCTCCCTTCTTCCACATTAATTTATTTAATCAAATATTTATAGCAGCATGAACTTAAGGATATCTATCTTGTTGGTTATAGTTTAATATTGTCTTTAGTGGTTTTATTGCTTAAATTATTCCGGCTTTGGCCATTGAGAGCTACTTCAGGTTGGCCCCCGTGTTTTCTTTTAGCAAACTTCCATCTTTTTTTCGAGCAATTTATTATTTTCTGACTCCACAAGATGTTCTCAGACTCATTTTATATTTTCTCAATTCTAGTGCTAGAATTAAGCACTCTGCAGGGCCAGGAGAAGAGTGGAGAAGCGTGTTTAGAAACTACAACGTGGGTATTAGGCCTGCTTATTACTTCTGGGAGCCATTGCTTCCAGGCGCTCTCAGCAGACAGAGCTGGGGTTTGTTTGCATGTGTCCTAACTCACGTGTATGCTCCTCCCCACCCCCCCAAAACCATGAGGTTGTACTGATAATTTGGATTCCAGTCCAACACTACAAGGTTTATTTTATTCTTCCCCTTTCCTTTAC